TTTCCGTTCTTAGAATACTGGCTAAGAACACCCGAGAGAAACACATCATTCCTCTAAGAGACAGGTCCAGGCACTATTTCCAGAGCTGCCCAGCCCCGACCTAATTCCATTTTCTACACTGCCATTCTGTTTCACACCAAGAGAGTCACCCCATTTCCTAGGGAGCGTGCTGAGTAAGCCAGAAGACGCACTGGCCCTAATTTAGCGTAGTCAGCACATACAGAAGTCACAGAAATGTGATGTCAATGAGCCTTCAGCCAATCTTGCCTGTAAATTTAATGCAAAAATCTTAAATAAAATATCAGCAAACAGGACCAAAAAGTATATTAGAATAGAAAGACATCATGACCAAGTGGTATTTATTTCAGCAAAGAAAGGATGGTTCAACATTAGTAATCTATATATAAATCTTAATGTCAAACAAAGGAGAGAACACATCACATAAACACCTCACAAATGGTGCTGGCCTGATGGCACAGACACGGCTCTGCAACACCAACATCCCATACGGGTGCTGGTTCAAGTCCTGGCTGCTCCACTTCTGATCCAGCTCCCTGTGAATATGCCAGGGAGGGCAGCAGGAGTTGGCCCAAGTGCTTGGGCCCCTGCACCCACGTGGGAGACCTGGAGGAAGCTCCTGGCTCCTGGCTTCGGTCTGGCCCAGCCCCAGCCATTGTTGCCATCTGCAGAATGGCCCAGTACATGAAAGATCTCTGTCTCTCCCTCTAACTCTTTCAAAAAAAATAATAAAAATAATAAAAAAAACTCACAAGGAACTGAAAAGACATTTGATAAAAATCAACATCCATTTGTGATTAGAAATACTCTTAATGAATTAAGTCTAGATGGCTATTTCCTTAAAATGATAAAATATATCAGAATCAACTCAGAAGTTGGTTTCATGCTTAAATGGGAAAATACCAGGGGCATTCTCCTGTAGACCAGGAATCTAATAAGGAAGTCATTATTACTTTCATTTAGTATTGTTCTGGAAATTCTAGAAACAAAAGAAACTAGAGGCACCCCCTCAAGAGTAGGAGGTAAACTTATCATTGTAGGCATCACGATGGTAAAGATGGGGAGGACCCAGGGGACTCCACTGAAAACTTGCACAAGCAAAAGAGAACACAGTAAGCTGGATGGGTACAAAGCAGCTCCACAGGAACCAATGGCTGTCATACACACACAGTTGCTGGATGACAGACCAGAAAAAATCTCATTATGTTAATCTTAATAAACATACAATGTCTATATGCCATAGGTGATATATCTATATAATGTCCCTGTGGGGGGCTGGTGTGCCACCTACAACACCAGCATCCCACATGGACAATGGTTTGAGTCCTGGATGCTCCACCTCCCATCTGGCTCCCTCCTAATACACCTGAGAAAGTAGTGGAAGATGGCCTGCTTGGGCCCCTGCTCCCACATGGGAGACCCGGATGAAGCTCCTGGCTCCTGGCTTCAGCCTGGCCCAGCCCTGGCCGTTTTGGCCATCTGGGGGGTATAAACCAGCAGATGGAAGATCTCTCTCTGTGTCTCTCCCTGTCTCTCTGTAACTCTGATTTTCAAATTAATTAATTATTTTTCAAATTAATTAATTAATTTTTTAAAATGTCCCCAAAGGTCACAAAATTTATGTGGACTAAGGGAAAGATAATTCCTGTCACATACTTGTGAAATCTTGCCAGGTTAGTTTATAAACTTAGTCTTATAAATGTACTCACAGGACTTCTCTATTTTGGTGGGTACATGGATATGCTGATACTAAGTTTATACTGAATTCCAAACAAGAAAGAAGAGCTAGAAAATTTTAGAAAAAGAAGATCAATAGCAGAATCCTCTTCCTGCAGTAGAAAAATATTTAAAGTAAAAAAAGGTAAATCTATAGTTAGATAATTTAAACAGTGTGGTACTGACACATAACAGACAACTCAGTGGAATACAATGCATGGGGTAGAAATAAAGCCACACCAGGAATTTGATGTATGATAAAGATGTCATCTCATGGAAGACAAGAAAAGATCCATTATTCACTAAATATTTTACGACGTCCTGGGAGACATCTAAAAAAAAATTCAGGTTGAATCCATAGTTTACTTTTTATACTAGGGTAATTCTTTGATGTAAATATTTAAATGTAAAAATATTTAAAAAACAATCAAGGCCAGCGCTGCAGCTCACTAGGCTAATCCTCCGCCTTGCGGCGCCGGCACACCGGGTTCTAGTCCCGGTCGGGGCACCGGATTCTGTCCTGGTTGCCCCTCTTCCAGGCCAGCTCTCTGCTGTGGCCAGGGAGTGCAGTGGAGGATGGCCCAAGTCCTTGGGCCCTGCAACCGCATGGGAGACCAGGAGAAGCACCTGGCTCCTGGCTTCGGATCAGCGCGATGCGCCGGCCGCAGCACGCCGGCCGCAGCGGCCATTGGAGGGTGAACCAACGGCAAAGGAAGACCTTTCTCTCTGTCTCTCTCTCACTGTCCACTCTGCCTGTCAAAAACAAACAAACAAACAAAAAAAAATCAAACCAAAAGATGAAAAGAAATTCAGAAAATTCTACAAACTTGAAATAAGTTCTAAGCTGGTATATTAAACTCAGAAGCAATAAATTGAAAAGTTGTTTACAACTGCTATATAAAAATAAAAATTTTGTGCAACAAAAAAACCATAAACAAGTTAAATACAAACAAAAAACTGGAAAAATACTTGTAATTCATATCATCACAAAGAGGATTTCAATTTCTCCTTTAATAAAGAGCTGTACATATCATTAAGGAAATCCCAACAACCCAAATAGAAAATCAGACAAAGGACAGACACAACAGTTCATGGAAAAGGATGAATGGCTCTTTAACATATTAAGAGATGCTCAGTCACCTTATTAAGGGAGAAATGAGATTTAAACTACTTTGCTTCACTTGTTATCACATTGGTAAAGATGGAAAAAGAAAAGTAAGAATCTGGAGTGGCACACTGTTTGGTGCAAGCATGGAAACTGCTCTCCTGCTTGGTGGCTGGGAGTGTGAACCAGCACACCATGACGGAGGCCAACTCGGCACCATCTATCAAAACCCAACTCACACGGCCCTGGTTCCAGCAGTTCCACTCCTAGGAATTTATCCAACAGAGAGTTTGCACATGTCCAAAATGGCTTACCTTCTCACTGATTACAGCAGACCTATTGATGACGGCCACAAGTTTGAAATGACTTGAACTCCTCATCACAGGGGACTGGCTGCCTACAGTATGGTACAACTATACCATAGACTACTGTATGGCACTTTATGTACTATTATAGAATAACTTTCAGAATAAAATTAAAAGTGCATAAAAAGCATGTACCATGCTACCACTGGTGAGGGTAAAAAGGAAACAGTCCATGTGTGTTTCCTCTGTGTGCATACGTTCCAGCTGGAGGAATGCCCGGGAACCCACTAGTAATCTCCATTACCGAGGATAGGGTGCCGGTGGCTCAGGGACAAGGAAGGGGGAGAACACCTTTGTGCCCATCATGGGATTTCCCACCATGGGAACATGCTATCTACCAACAACGCCTACACATTAGACTTTACCATGTGGACTATTCAGGGTACAGCTCGACACCAGCCTCTCCATGCTTATCCTGAGCTCAGCTGAGAATTGGCCCATTAGTTTATATAGCAATTGGATTAGGGTGCCAGAGAAGAGACGTTTTTACTTTAATGTCCCATACTAGAAGTTAAATAGGAATATAAAAAGGTAAACAGAGTTGTTAGTAGGATCACAGTTTATTAAAAGCAATCAAATAATTAACACCAAAAAAGGAATCCTGGGGATGTTTAGCTAAACCATCTCTAAGGAAATAGCCCAGATCTTTGCAGAGGAGACTAAGGGGATGTATGCTACGTTTTACTTTTTATTAGATACTTGCATTTCCATGTTGTTGGATTATTCTGACCCTTCAATATATTAACTCATTTTAGAATTTAAAAAATCTAATCTTAAACATAAAAAAACCTACATTTCCATTGGCACCCAAATACACAGAAAAGTGTTAGACCAGTGTTTCAAAAGGAAGAAACAGCTATATGCATAAAAATGGTCACCATATGTACAACATAAGTATATTCATATGTGTAATATATATACCTCCTACAAGTTAAACAATAAGAAAACGGTTCCTTCTATGCTAACATATCCAGGAGATAGAATATTTTGTTAAATCGCATTCATGTAGAGTAAGTGGTAATTGGTGTAATACCTAGAATATAAAGTTGATTTAGACAGATACGAAATTTTCTGTATGAGGGGTCTTCAAAAAATTCACAGAAAAGGCATGTTATGAAAAACTGTGCATGGACTTCAAAAGTTTGTTTGCACCAAAATAAACTTATAATTCTGTTTTCTATGAACTTTTTAAAGTGCCCTTATACAACTTAGTAAAACATTCCTTCTGACAATGATTGGGAAAGTGGTAACATACCGCTTATCAACACTTTCTATAATGTAGGTTAAAATAAAAATTTAAGTTTTTTTTTTTCAAAATTTTCAGCTTCAAGTTTTCCTCCTTTTGCTAGAATTCGATTGGAGGGATTGGTGTAGCAGGTAAAGCTGCCGCCTGCAAAGGCCAGCATCCCATATGGGTGCCGGTTCGAGACCTGGCTACTCCACTTCCTGTCCAGCTCCCTGCTAATGTGCCTGGGAAAGCAGTGGAAGATGGCCCAAGTGCTTGGGCCCCTGGTACCCATGTGGGAGACCTGGAAGAAGCTCCTGTCTTCAGCTTGGCCCACCCCAGGGCTGTTGTGGCTATCTGGGGAGTGAACCAGCAGATGGAAGCTCTCGCTCTCTTTCTCTTCCTCTCTCTGTAACTCTCTCAAATAAATAAATAAATAAATCTTTAACCAAGAAAAAAAAAAAAGAAGAAGAAGAAGGAATTCGATTTGAACAGCAAGCCTCACGCTGCCTGCCCGTCACTCCCAGGAGGAGTGCTACCTGCAGGCTTTTAACAGGGGAGAGGCACTTACTTGCAGCTCCTGCTGGAGGGGGAGGCTGGGCTGCCTGCCCCGGCTTCTCCAGGCAGCGACCACCATTTGTGGGAAGCCCCTTTTCTTGGGGACCATCGAAGAGGTCTCTGACATCCTTCCTTGGTTTGGGTTCCTGGGGATAACTCTCAGAAGATTTTTCTTTGATTCTGAAGGAGGAAACCAGTGAGGATAATCTCTTTGAAACCTTAAGTGCATCTGAGGGCTCTTGCAAACTCACTTTCTCCAGGAGCGAGGGGACATCATCTAGCTTACTGCTGGGAGCAGCCGAAAGGGCGGGCAACGCCTCGGGTGGCCGCCTGGGCAGACTGTGGGTGTGCTGAGCAGGGCTGGGAGGGCTAAGGTCCGTGGCCTGGGCCGCCTTGGCTGCCAGGGAGCCGGAGGAGAAGAAGGCAGCAGCCCTGCTCATCATGTTTCTTCCCGGGGACCGCTGGTCCCCCTCTTTGCTGGAACTGCCCCTCCGAAAGCTGAAGGAACGCGGGCGGGCATGCGCCTGGTTGGTGGGCAAAGCTTTGGACTCAGCCTTGGTCCAGGGCTTCCTCCCGCCGCTGGGCAAGAGGGTCTTCCGGAAGACACTCGCTATCATCCGCAGCGGGGACTTGGGAGGAGGCACGCTCCGCTCCCCCGGTGCCCGGTCAGCCTGGGTCCCCGCCGGCCCCTGGGCCTCTCTCTGAGGGGGCGGCACCGGTTGGGCTGACCTCAGCCCATTCTCAGCGCCATCCTGAGCGGGCCCCACGCTTCCGGGGATGGAGTGATTCCAATCCAGCAACATGGTCTTCTGCTCCGGACTCAGGACCAGCTTCTTCAGGCCTGGCCGCTTCTCCGCCGCCGGCTCAGCCCTGGGAGGTAGCTTCTGGTCTGGCAAGCAGCTGTCCTTCCCCACAGTGGGGGCTGGGTCTCTGTGGATGCTGCTGGTGTCCGCAGGGGGGTCCTCGGCCGGCCGGTCCCACTCGGCAGGGCTCGTCAGGCTTTCGCCACCGGGACTCACGAGGCAGAATTCTGCCCGCTCCAGCACCATCTCGTGGGGAAGGTAGAGGGGGATCTCCTTGAGCGCTCCTTGGGCTTTGGCTCGCCTCAAAAAGATTGGGGTGGTTGGATCGCAAGAACCTGTGGAGACCTGCGGGTGAGGGTCACAGGCTGTCACCTCGAGGGATGGGCAGAAATAGCCGCTATTGAAAGCCCCCTCCCCGCCCCGGCCCCCTCATAGCGTTTATTTCTATGGGGAAGGCAAATGTCCATCCACACTCCACTCCCTTCCTTTCTCCACATCTGACACCCAAAGTCAAAGAGAATTCGGTCCCATAGGATTTCCAAGGTCATCTCTGGTCCTAAGTGGCTGCCTCGGAACCTGCTGGGATCCGCCCAGAACCCTCCCCCGCCCCCCCAGCCCTGAGCAAGGGCTATCCGCTATCCGGGCCCCACACGAGGAGGGGAGGAAGCCAGAGGGGCAGGCAATGGCATAGACACCACTCTTGATAAGCTCCTGGGCCAGGGAGGGTAGGGTTGGTCAGCTCTGTGGGTGGCCAGACCCACAGGAAAAGGCAAGATCGCTGTGGGAGATTCAGATGGAGTTCCAGGCTTCAGCCTTGCCCAGCCCCAGGTTGTGGACATTTGGGGAGTGACCAGGCTGATGGGAGATCTCTCTCTCTCTCACCCTCCCTCTCCCTTCCTCTTTCAAATAAGGAAAATAATAAAAATAAAATGCAGAGTGAAGGTGGGAGTAGCGGGTGGGAGGCATACAGGCAGCTCAGCTTCCTAGCACCTGTGTGGGGACCCAGAGGCACTCACCTGCGGTGGGGAGGTGGCCTTGGGCGCAACTTCGGGGACACTGGCTGAAGAAGATGGCGGCAGGGATGAAGGAGAAGCCCGCAAAGACCGAGGAAGAGACAGAGACAGAGACGGAGACGGTTCCCTTGGAGGTGAGGCAGCTTCGCTGTTCACTGGCGTGAAACCTACCGAACGGAGAACACGCTGGCCATTACAAACCTGTTATTACCTTATTTTGTCATGAGAAAAGTGGCTTTCACAGGAGGCTCCAGTGCCATAGGCAGATTCAGAAGGAGGACGATGTTGAGACAGGACTCAGGGTTCCCAGAGCCCGTAGCTTGGGGCTTGGAGGAAGAGGAAGAGGCAGAGGAGAGGCAGGTCTTGTGCGGTGACAGGGGCCCTGGGTGAAAAGCCTACGAATCACCATGTTGCAGACTCCTGTGAGAGGCGTCCCGAGATGGGCAGCCAGGAGCCCCCGGAGCCCTTGTTGGCAATGGGCTTCTATCAGAAGTCCCCCCAGCTCTTGTGGGCGGAGCTGGGTTGCCTTACATTGCTTTGTCCATAAACCATCTGAGGCTCCTTCCCCTAAGACACAGGACCATCAGCGACAGGAGAAACGTTGGCTGCCAGAGAGGGGCTCTCCATGAGGTGCAGAGTTTGAGATGGGGAGAGGGTACGTGGGAGGTGACTGTGGAGTGGCGTCCACACTAAGCTGCACTGGCCAGGGAACAAACAGGAGGCAGGGGCAGGAGGAGCCTGACTGCAGACTGTGGGCAGCTGGGGTCATCTAGGCTGGGGAAGCCGGGCTCACGCAGGTGCACCTGGGAGGCCAGTCAGGCTCATGTGTGCGTTCTCCTTCCTCTTCCTCCCTCCTTCTTCCCGTTAAGTCTGGTCCCCTTACATGTAAAACCTCAGACTCTGTAAAACCTCTGTCTCCGTATTGGACCGTTTCGGATAATCGTCCTCAAATACATTCAGAAAAATGCCCTGCAGCGTCTGGTGTTGGCCGGGCTGGGCTTCAGGACTTGATCCTGGCCCAGGCACAGCCGCAGCCCACGCCAATGCTCCCACACTCTCCCTGGGGCCACTGAGCCCAACCAGCCCCATTCTTGCCTGTCCCTGACTCCGCCAACGTGGCCTTCGGGATTTAGCTCAATGCACTCAGCTGGCCTGTCTTCCCCAGGTTGTAGGAGAGAGCAGGGACCCACGCACAAGTCCCGCCCTGCGGGGACGACCAGGTCCTGCTTCCTGGTGCACCTCTGACCGTCTCTGAGGGTGGGTGCGGGTCTGGGGAGATGGCGAGCGCGCACACACACACACACACACACACACGGGGCAGGCAGCTCCCAGCCAGCCAGCAGCTCCCAGAGCGCTTCAGAGGGAGCGGTGACCCCAGGAACAGAGAGGCCACGGGCTGCCGGGAGCTGACGCCCGCCGGGGAGCTCGCTGGCTGCCTCCCGCCACACGCACCCCACCTCAGCCCACAGCTAGACAGCTGGAGCCTAAAAAGGCAAGAACTCTGAGTCACTCGTGGCCTTGCTTCCTGTCCTCCACAGGCCACATTCCTGCCACATACCTTCTCCCCCTCTTCCTCGCCCCCTCACTCTCCTCTCTGCCACCTTCCGACTCTGACTCCCTAACTTGTCTCCTCCGCTCCACGGACACCTTGGAACCAAACCCTGGGGGCCTAGCCAGCAAAGCCTTAGGTTCATAGGTCATGACCCGGAAGCAGTTCGCCCGGGTCTCCTTCCTCTAATACCTGCCCACCCCGGCTGTGAGGGTGGACCCCTCCCTCCACGTGGGCCTCACGCCCCCAGGCTAAGCTGCTGCGTGGAAGCTGGGGGACAGGCTGGGGTTGGGGGGGCCCCGGAAGGCTTGGCCCAGCTGAGAGTCATGGGAGTCTCACCAGCCCCCGGGGCAGGTGGTGTCTTGGGCTCCCCCACACTCACTCAGCCAGCTGCCCGACACCGAGCAATTCCGTGACCCCCAGCTTCTCACGCAAGAAACTGGGGCACTGGGGCTGCTTCACGGGTGATTGAGGGAGCGGCTCCGGATCATAACAGGGGCCCAGCTGAGTAGGCGCCACGTGTTTGCCAGCTGTGACTGGCACCTCCCTAACCTCCCCTCAGGCGCACTCGCTGTGTCACGGGAACACGCTGCTGGGACCCCAGCCCGATCCACAAAGGGGGCCGCACCCCCACCCCAGCCACGGCCTCTCCAAGCCTGGGTTCCAGTAACTCTGCCTCAGATCCTCCTCCAGGGGCTGGAAACCTTGGCAACGCCACAGCCAGGGCTGCCCTGCCCACTGCTGGGGTTCCCGTCCAAGTGTCACTGGCCCCCAGCGTCCTTGTGTGTGAAGCCAGCTGATGAGCAGGCCAGAACCTGGGTTACAGCCTCCAGACCCCTGGACCAGTTCCTGTCCCACCTCTGCTCTGAGACCTCTGGCACTGGCTACCTTTCTCCTAGATCCCAAAGGTCACTGTGGCCAGTAGGGTCAGCTGGGGGAGGGTGCTGAGGGCTATGACACCGCTCCCTCCAACTACCCTCCAGCCTGGAGTGTGGAGCAGAAGTGGCCGTGATGGGGCAGTGATGGATGGTGGACTGATGCCCCCAGGGTCTGCTCCCTTTTATAGGACCAGCCCTGCCCCTTGGGGGGTCTCCTTTTGGGCACAAAGAAGATAACAAAAACAGATGTCTTTGGTGGCCCTCAGCCCAGGGGATTCTTACCAGGACTGGGATTCCAGGGGGCAGCCTCCCAGAATTTGGAAGCCAGGCCAGGCTCAAATCCCTTCTCGAAGTCTTGGAGCGCCCTCTAGGGGCAGCAGCTGGAAAGTCTGACTCTATCTGCTAGGTTTGCACTCAGTCCAGCCAGCTTATTCCTTGATTCAATTGTGTCCAATGTCCAATTACCATCCATCCATCCATCCACTCTTCCTTCCTTCATCCCTGCCTCCCTCCATCCCTCCTTCCTTCCTGTCTTCCCATTCGTCCATTCATCCATCTACCCAACCAGCCAGCAAACAAGGACAAGGGGGTACCTCCTCTGGGCCATAGCATGCTGGACACCAGACCCATAGAAAGATTCAACCTCATGTCCTGCCCTCAACCCAGACTTCTTAAGCACTTGGGGGACCATGGACCTAAGGCCCCCAGGCCCATCCTAGAAGCTACGCTGCTGTTCCCAGTGTACTCCTCCACAGCCCCCCACTGGTGGCCCACACACTGCTACCGTGGGCTGGGAGTTTTGGGATGGATGGGGCACCTACACAGACCCGCCCTGAGCAGCAGGATGCTGGGGACTGGAGAAGTGCAGGGCAGTAAAAGAGTTAACCACGTGTGGGGAAAGTCAACTCTCCATGCCCTCTTGCTCTCTCTCTCTTGCTGCCTGGGGCCGGCCAGGCAAGTCAAGGGCCACTTAGGTTGTCCCCAGATCTGCCCAGGTGTGTAACCCTGGGGCCAGCTCCCAAGGTGCCTCCGCCCCAGCCTGTCCCGGTGAGGAGGCCCATGGGGCTGGGCCTTGGGGGAGTGACTCACTGGCCGCTGGTCCTACAGGGAGCCCAGAGAGGGAGAGGAGGCTGGGGGGGAGGGAGGGGAACAGGATGGAGTCCTGGAGGGAATTCCAGCTCTGTAACCTCGGGCAGCCAGCAGAATGGGAGCCAGCCCCAGGTGTGGAGCAACCACGCGCGTAGTCAACACGCCCCCTCGTGGGCACCTGCTGTCTTAGCTGCTGCCGGATGCTGACCCAGCTCTGACCATTCATGGGATGTTGGTACCAAGGCGTGTGTGTGTGCATGTGTGGCCATCTTCATGGCTTTGCTCGAAACTGCATGAGGCCATTAAGTTGATGCCCCACCCCCCCAACCCAGGGCACAGAATCCAGTCAGAGTCCCTCAACCTCAGTTTCCTTCTCTTTGCCTTGCAGAGCTGGGTGCCTACAACCGACCGCTGTGGCCCCTTCTGGGTGCGGCTGTAGAACCCTACGGCTCCCCAATTCCCAGGGGGTGGCAGAGCACAGAAATGGGTGTGCTTTGTCAGTCAGCAACGGAAGTCCAGTCAACCATACTTCTCTTTTCTTGCCCCCTCTGCTCCAGGAAGGCCCGACAGGGAAGACACCATGTAAGGAATGAGAGCAGTGCCTGGGAGAATTAGCCAGAGCCCAGCCCCCGACAGCTCCTGACTCACTGGACTGGAATGTTCTCCAGTGTGGCTGTTGGCTTGGCGTTGAAGACTGGAAGCTTCTGGCCCGATGCAGAGCTGTGGGGTGGGGAAGAAGGGGGAGGGCAAGAGTCTGTTAATTGTGTGGCAGAAACAGGGATTTTTCTGCTGAAGCCGGTTTATCGACAATCAAGAGACAGTGACTCCAACGGACTGAACCCCTTCCTCCCCTGGGGGAGCCCTCCTGATCCCCTGCACCTCCCACCTCCTCCTCCTCTACTCATCACTTGTTTATGACCATGGGACAGGGCTGACCTGGGTCAGCAGAAACGTCTCCGTGTGAGCCACCCTTCTAGTTAGTGATCGATAGTGACCGTCTCACATGCATGCATGAACTCTGCAGACATAGTCTGCATGCACACAGGGGTACATATGTATATGACATGCATGGATGCACTTTCATTCATTTTTTTTTTTTTTTGACAGGCAGAGTGGACAGTGAGAGAGAGACAGAGAGAAAGGTCTTCCTTTGCCGTTGGTTCACCCTCCAATGGCTGCCGCGGCCGGCGTGCTGCGGCCGGCGCACTGCGCTGATCCGATGGCAGGAGCCAGGTACTTATCCTGGTCTCCCATGGGGTGCAGGGCCCAAGCACTTGGGCCATCCTCCACTGCACTCCCTGGCCACAGCAGAGAGCTGGCCTGGAAGAGGGGCAACCGGGACAGAATCCGGTGCCCCGACCGGGACTAGAACCTGGTGTGCCAGCGCCGCAAGGCGGAGGATTAGCCTAGTGAGCCGCGGCGCCGGCCCATTCATTTCTACTAGAATGGTTCGTTTAAGCTGAGGCGTCTTAAAAAGCTCACGGAAAATGCAGATGATGAAATAATCTATGAATGGTTTGAAAAATTTTTTACAACAAAATAAGCTTATCTTTCAATTCTGTTTTTCCACGAAGCCTTTTCTTTTAAAGGTCAACAGGACTCACACTGGCGCTCCAGCATGGGGCTGCTGGCTCGCAGGCGGGGGCTTCCTACTGTGCCACAACGCCAGCCCCTTTCATGACCCCTTCAGTGCCCTCCTGTGCTGCAGATAAAACTGGGGCAGCTCCGATGGAAGCCAGGAAATCGTACAAAGTTCCACCTTCTGCGGCATAGCGGGTAAAGCCGCTACCTGCAGTGCCAGTATATGGGCGCCGGTTCGAGCCCAGGCTGCTCCACTTCCGATCCAGCTCTCTGCTGTGGCCTGGGAAAGCAGTAGAAGATGGCCCAAGTGCTTGGGTCCCTGCATCCATGTGGGAGACCTGGAAGAAGCTCCTGGCTCCTGGCTTTGGATCAGCCCAGCTCTGGCCATTGCAGCTATTTGGGGAGTGAACCAGCAGATGGAAGACCTCTCTGCCTCCGTCTCTCCATAACACTGCCATTCAAATAAATAGATAAAATCTTCTTAAAAAAGAAAAGAAAGTCCTCCTCCTGCCTCCTCTTCTCCCAAAGACTGGCAAACCTTTTGGACACCACTTGTCACTGAGCCTCTGGACTGTCCACTGCAGTGACCTCTGCCCTCGGTTTACATGGAAACGTGTTTTGTCCAACACCGGGCACTTGGTACAAAAGGCCTGTCTGCCCAGCCGGGACTTTAGAAGTGGCTGAGCAGACTGACCATCACATGCAGAGGATGCTGGACCTCGGCCATTGGTGGGGGGGGACCTCGGCCATTAAGGGCATGGGGGATGGGCAGTGGGACCCAACACACGCTGTGCCCAGGCAGGGCCTCAGATTCCTGCTCTGGCTCCAGGTCCCTGTGCCTCCATCACAGCCAGGGAGAGAGGCCGAGGGAGAAACATATCTGAGTGCCCACTCAATGGGGCCAGGAGGGGACGGAGAGCAACACCAGGAGTGACGGGTGGAGGATAGGGCTGGAAGTTTGAAGCAGGACTCCTGGCCTGTCCCATGCTCTCTCTCATTCTCCCCGCCTCCTCCTCACTCTACCGTGGAGCACAGGTGTAACCAGTACCTGGCTCCTGCTCCCTCTCTTACTCCAAGTGTGCTTGCTGTGTCTTGTGGGTTCCCGGTCCCACTGACCTGCTCCGAGTCAAGCTCAGGGACGTGAGGAGCAGCCTTGTGCAGATGGGCACCCAGCACGGTCTCCCCGTGTCCCCATTGCACGGGGACCACTCACTTGTGGCGCCTGTCCACTCGCTCCCGACCCAGGGCTGGGACAGATCTCCATGCAGCACCCGGAATGCAGACTCCTGGACACCATCAGGGCCAGCTCCAGCCTCCTCCCCTAAGCTTGCGGCATCCTCGCCCTGGCTTCTGATAGCCAACCAACCACTCACTGGGGCTCCAGTAGGGCACAGCTGGCCCTACAAGGTTCTAATCACTGCACTCATGAGCTCATTGGCTTCTGCAACAGATAACACCTGGATGGCTGGGATTGTCTCCTGGGGCTGCTTCTCCAAGAATTACAGGTCTGGGGCGGAAAGTTACTACCACCTGCTTGTACCCCAGACTGGCTGCAGCTCACCAGACCATCACAGAAGTTATCTAAAGAATATGGTGTCACTGACCAATCCAAGCAAGACCACAAGCACCGCAGCCAACCAGGAACTTAGACATGAGCTGAACACGCTCCTCCCAGCCCCAGCTTCTGTCTGTAAGAACCGTCCCTCTTATCTCCTGGGGAGCCCAGGGGTGAAGGGGGAGCCAGCCAGCTCCTCGCTCCGTGTGCCCTTGGTGAAGCAGCTGACATCAGTGATGGGCTCGGGGGTTCCATGTAGTGCTCCCCAAGCTGTCCAGGCCTGGTGCTTTGCATAAGGAACAAGCAGGCCTTAAGCACAGCTGATCCTGCTGAGCAGAGTTAACTTACTAAGCACGCAATGAAGACATTTCTCGAGAAAAAATCTAAGATTGCGTGAAGTTCGACTGGCTTCTCCTGTCTCTAACTTGGGGGAGTAGAACCAATCAGAAACAGATAGAATTCACGAGCGATTCCTCATCACTGGCGCCGTTTCACCACAATAGGGTGGGAAGAAATGACTGAATCTAGCCATTCTGGGCAGCAGCAATAGGGCAGGCTCCCTGAAAAACAGTTACGGAGAGGGAGGGGGTAGGGGAGGGAGATCTTCCACCCACTGGGTCACTCCCTAAATGGTTGCACCGCCCTGGCTCAGGTGGAAGACTCCATCCAGGACTCCCATATGGGTGCAGGGGCCCAAGGGCCTGGGTGATCTTTTGCTCCTTTCCCAGGCGCATTAGCACGGAGCTGGATTGGAAGTGGAGCAGCCGGGACTCAAACCGGCACTCATGTAGGATGCAAGCACTGCAGGTGGCTGCTTAACCCACTGTGGCCACAGCATCAGCCCCTCAAATACATATTTTAAAGGAGCACTTTGGGGATCTTAGTGCATGACCTGAGGCAAAAGGCCTAAGAGGTTATTTTGCCATATGGTGTGATGACATTTTATTGTCATAAAGAAGTAGCATCCTCCATATGCCACCGGGTCATCTCGTTATCAAATTATTGTCAGGAACATAAATGGAAATACCACTCCTTCGAAGTCAGAACAATCTGGGGACAGACTGCCCTCCTACATCTAATTGGCTTATGTCCAGGAATCCAGTGCCCTGGAGCAAGTCACATAGTGGCTTGGGGTGTGCATTTTACAACCAACTCATCCAGGCAGGCCCTGCAGGAAGCTGCTCCTCCGTGAGCCCCACGGTGCAGGACCTGCCCACCCGCGAGGAGGCACCAGGCAGCTTCGTGAAGCGCAGACCCTTGGCCCTACCCTAGGCCCACTGGTCCTGCACCTCCAGCAGCAGGGAGCTGGTTGTCTATCTTTGCAAGGAGATTTTCAGAACCACTGAACTCAATGGGTTTTCGACATCTTCTGTAATGCGGGGTGTAAGTTACACTTCAGGCCATCCCCTCGGCTGTGTTTTGTGGTAAAGAATTTTCAGGCTATGATTGGTTCCTTGATAAGGCTGTGATTGGTTCCTTGAGGTAGTCTCAGAAATCTTTTTTCTTAACTAATGCCAACGATGCACATCTTCTAGAAAGTACCATTTAAGCCATTTTTAAAGAATAGAATTCAGTGGCATTCATATGGGGCGACTTAAAAAATTCATGGAAACTGCATATGATGAAAAAAACCCTATGCATGGATTTCAATATTTTTGCCCTAAACTAAGCTTATTTTTCAGTTCCATTGTTTGTGAGTCGTTGGCAGTGCCTTCACACATTCACTCACTGTTGTGCAAACATCAGGACCATCCACCTCCCATCTTCCCCCCCCCCCCCCAAGTGGATCTGTACTCATTGGAATAGAGCACTCCTTCCACACTCCCTACACCAAGTCTTTTTACTTCCTGTCTCTGAATTTTGCTGCTTGGGGCACCTCATATAATTGGAATTATCTAGTATTTGTCTTTGGGAGACTGGCTTGTTTCACAAGGTTCATTCACGTCTCAGCACAGATCAGAATTTCATTCCTCTTTGGGGCTGGATAACACTCCAGTGTTTGGATAGACCACATTTTGTGTATCCAGTCATCTGTGGATGGACACCTGCTTTGTCTCCCCCTGTTGGCTGCTGTGAGTAATGCTGCTATGAGCATAGCTGTACAAATCAGTACTCAAAAGCAACACTGGCCTTCTGTAAAGCCAGCTGGGAGGCATGAATCCAGGTGAGAGCTGTGGTTGATGAAGCATTATTTGGACAGTGATGGGCTTACCATAACAGGCAACACAGAACACAGCACTTAGGCCTACGCTAGAGCTTTTAAACTCGACCATGTGGCCAGCCTATCCATCATGAAACCACGAGTGACGGGGATGAAAAGCAGCAAAGGATTACTTAACACTCATGCAGTTGATCAACTTCTCTTCGTTTCATTCTAGATCTAAGTGGGCCCATCAGGAAGGAAGTGCTTCGGCCACACTGCCTCAGTTTCCCCATTTAATCACATTCTCCTGGGACAGCTGCCTGCACGGTCACGTTTGATGTCATGCCCCCATCTTCCAGCGAGGGGCGCTAGGAGAGACAGCAGTCATTGAAGACCCGTTCTGTATCATGAGCTTTCTTCCTGTAGGGTTCTGCATGGGGAAAGTTGTGCCTGCTCTCAGGCTTCCTGCAAACCAGGATACTCCCACATCTGCTGGTGCTGCATCAAGGAGTCAACCAACTGCAGGATGAAAATATTCAGGGGGCAGCACTGTGGGGTAGCCAGTAAAGCCACAGCCTGCAACACCAGCATCCCATATGGGCACTGATTTGTGTCCTGGCTGCTTTACCTCCAATCCAGCTCCTGCTAATGGCTTGGGAAAAGCAGTAGAAGATGGCCCAAGTGCTTGGGCCCCTGGACCCATGTGGAAGACCTAGATGGAGTTCCAGGCTCCTGACTTTGGCCTGGCTCAGCTCCGGAAGCTGTGGCCACTGGGGAAATGAACCAGCAGATGGAATCTCTCTCCCTCTCTCTCTCTCTCTCTCTATACACACACACACACACACACACACACACACACATATATATATATATCTCCCTCTTTCTCCATCTCTCTGTAACTCTGACTTTCAAATAATAAGTAGATCTTTAAAACAAAATTTGCTGTCATACTGAACCTGTACAGATTTTTCCCTTTGACATTATTCCCTAAACAGTCTAGTGCAACATTGTTGGCACAACACTGACTTTGTAGTGGGCATTATGAGTCAACCAGAAGTGACTTAAAGTCTATGGAAGAGGGGCCAGCGCTATGGCATAGTGGACAAAGCCACCACCTGCAGTGCCAGCAGCCCATATGGGCACTGGTTTGAGTCCCGGCTGCTCCTCTTCCAATCCAGCTCTCTGCTATGGCCTGGGAAAGCAGTGGAAGCTGGCGCAAGTCTTTGAGCCCCTGCACCCACATGGGAGACCTGGAAAAGCTCCTGGCTCCTGGCTTCGGATGTGAGCAGCTCCGGCTATTGTGGCCAGCTGGGGAGTGAACCAATGAATTGAAGACTTCTCTCTCTCTTTCTGCCTCTGCCTTTCTGTAACTCTTTCAGATAAATAAATAAATCTTTTTTTAAAAAATCTCTATGGGAGGACATGCACGAGCAGATGTTTGGCCGTTTCACATACAGGACTTGAGCACCTGGGATTGTCCCATCCCCAGGGGTCCTGGCCCTGATCCCCTGTAGTTTTCCCTGCTGGGCGATGCAGTGATTGCCGTGGTCTCCTTTGCCACACTGGCTGCTCAGGACTGTGGTCTGCCTCTCGGGGCCCCCACCTCCTGAGCCTGTTTCGTCAGCCCTGACTCTGAGGCTTTGCTTTGCATAGACACAGGCACAGGGCTCTGTCTCGTGCCTTGTTTCTGAAGTTTCCGAAACACCCCCTGGCAGGTGTGGAGAGGGGAGAGGTGGAGGAGATGGAGGAGAGGCAGGCAGGCTTCTGTGTGAGGAGGAGGTGGGAGCCCTGGGAGATGGAGCAGGTGCCAGGGCAGGACAGGACCCCCTGGGCGAGGGCCCGTGCTCTGCTCCTGCCTCTGCTGCCGAGCCAGTCTGGACAACTCACACATGGCACTTAACGACTGTGTTCCAATGACCATTGTCCCCTGCCCCCGCCATTTCTTTCTTTTTAAAACATATTTAATATGGTGTGTACATTACAATTCTAAAGATACAATATTCCCTTCCTCCCTTTCTTCTGGTAACCATTTGTCACTTTGAAAAAAGGCTCATATGAGAGGTTTCCGTGATTTAAATATATATATATATATACACAAAATATGTCAAGATAATACATATGAAAATTATGGAAAACATCATTCCTGAGGAGGGGTGAAAATTTTGTCCTTGGCCACCAGAGGGCAGTGCTGGACCAATTGCTTTAAAGCGCTCTAGGGCTCAGGCTGTTGGTACTGATAGGGTTGGTGCCACCCTGGGCTTGTTTGTCCCAGGCACTCCCCCAAGTCGCATGGTTTAGTCCCAAGCTGCTGTGGACTGATCAGAGCCATGGATTCCAGGCCACGTTTCTTCAGACAAGCTGGGCAGCTCAGGACAAGTACTTCTAAGCAGGCGGGGCTCAGGGGCAGGAGCTGTCCGGAGAACATGCGTCTGTTCACCTGCACGGGGTCCTGGGGGCAGAGGGGCCGTGACAGGGCTACACTGGAAGTGCATGTGGTACTGGGCAGGAGCCCCTGTGAGATCTGCACCCAGGTGGCCTGGGGAGACCGTGCCACCCAGGGCCCGGCTCCCTTCCCCCAGGGACTACAGGGGACGGTGGGAGGCAGGCCAGCTATCTCTACCCACCTGAGACACAGCACCACCCAGGCTCCTCCGACGTCCACCTGTACAAGTCTCATGGACGAGGAAGCCAGGCCTCGGTCTGGACTCCCTCCCCCCCCCCGCCCGTGCCCTCCTTATACCCCACTCCTCAGAGATCCCATGCCCGCCACCTCTGGGCCTGGGGGCTGGCCCTGCTGTCACCTGGGCCTCCACCCAGGGATGCTCTGTGCTCACCGTGCACCGCGTGGGACTCCTCAGGACTGTGCGGCGAGACCGCCCTGGTCAGGGGTTCCCTCAGGGAGACGTGCCGGCTCAGGGGCTTCGGTGGAGGCTCCGGCTTGGGCTGCGGGGGTCTCTCTGCACGGAGCTCCACGCTGGGGGCTTCACTGCCGCCACAGTCAGACTCTGTGTCGGAGCTGGAGGGAGAAAGGAGGGAAGTGAGCCGGGAACCCGGAGTCCTTCTACCCAACATGTGCCTACACGGGGCCTCCTTGGCCCCTGCTCCAGCTGACCCGGGTGTCCAGAGGCCGGGCCAGTGGGGTCCCCCACTCCTATTCATCCACAGAACAGGACTGCATTGAGAGATGGGGTCTTAACAGGGGTGACTACGGTAAAACCCGTTTGTGAGAGAGGGCCCGCATTTGATACAACGCATCCTCATGAGAGGGACTCTGGACCCAGACAGGCACAGAGGGAAAAGTCACATGGCCAGGGACAGGCTGGGCCGGGTCCCTCCCTCACTGCCCTTTGTGGGCACCAGCTCTGTTGCACCGGGAGTGGGGACCCTCAGGCTCTGCAGGCCTGTGTTTTCAGCCATGTCTGTCCCCACAGACTGAGACAGGCGTGGACCAGAGCAGATGGAGGGCACCCAGGAAAGTCTGGGGAGCTGAGGCTGCCCTCGCCCTCGCCCACCGCAGGGTGGATACAGTGCAGTGTTAGGGGCTTGGTCCTGAAACCTCAGGCATTTAACTGTCCCTTCCCCTAGCACAGCGGGGGTAGGGAGGGTGGAAAGACTTCCCGGAATAAGGGAGGAAGGGCCTGGTCTGATGTGGCCCCGACTCGCTGGCAGGGGTGGAGGCAGGCGGGCTTAGGCGGAGAGCCACCCACAGACAGTTCCAGGGTGGGCAGTGACATTTCTGTGACTCTAAACACTCTTGCTCTCTCTCCCGTGCACAGGGACCCAGCACGCCTCCTCTCATCCCATCAGTGCCCTCATGTGTCTGCCTGCTTCAGCAGGCTCTATCCAGCCCAGTGCCCAAGGCTGGCGCAGTGCTGTTCACCAACTGGTGCCAGTGGTGGGTGTGTGACGCGGGTGACGCCCACTGTATGGATAATCGGCGAGGCTCCCAGCAGCCAGGAGCCCCATGCGTGTGGACAGCCCCTCTGTGGACAGTTGCAAATGCACAGCACCGGGCAGCCACAGGGACAGGGGCTCATATCCCAGCTGGAGGGCCTCAGCCTGGCCTCAGAGGCCTTGGCGCATCTGTCTTTGTGGCTTCTGCCACTTAGGACGGGCACCGTCCTGTCTGATGGAGACCCGGGGGTTCTGGCGGCTGTGTGACCTAGAGCAGGTTTCCACCTGGTTTCCCTCCTGGTCACTGCCGAGAGAGCTGCAGGGAGGAGACCCGCACAGACGTGCGTGCGCAGGCACCTGTGGAGCTTGCTAAAACACAGCTCCGAGCCCTGTTCCAGAGTATGCACAAGTGGGGATGGGAGAACCAGTTGTCCACAGCCCAGCCTCCGCGTTGGCTCCACACCTGCTCTTCTCCGGTTTCTGTCCATGAGCTTGGTTGTTCAGAGCGGCCTCACCTCTTGACCTGCTGACTTGACGTTTGCACCAAGGTGTCAACATCGCACCCTCAGCAGAACCTCGGCTGCATCTTCCCTGACATGCTTCCCACAACTCGACTGGAGAAATGACACCCCACCTCACCCCACCCCCACCCCAGCCCAGGGACTCCTGTCAAGCTCCAGGAGCCGCCTTCGCATCCTCTCTCAGCCCCATACTTGGTCCATCAGGAAATCTGTCTCTGTGCTCTCCCTGTCCTGGGGCCACCAGCTACCCCCACCCCCACTCCCGGTGTCCTGCCTCCACCCCTGCCCACCCTTGCCAAACTCTACACCTAGGCCTGCTGACCTGTGAAAGCCACAGATGAGCTGTCACTGTTGGGCTGACAAAGCCCCCTTCATTCCTACGTGGGATAAGCAGTAAATGTCTCACAGCCCTCCTTTTGGGTGTGATCTTCCTCCTTTTGCCCTGTGCTGTGCGCCGGCCATGGCGACCTTAGGTTACTGCTGGGATCCCCAGCTCACTCCTGCCCGGGACCAGTGTGCCAGCTCCTGTTACCTCTGGGACTCTCGTTCTCCCTTCCCGTTAACCAATTGCCAGCTGGCCCTGCACCACCTCAGAGGGGCTGGCCTGGGTTCTTTGCGACAAAGGTTGCAATCATTCTCCCTTGCAATGGGATTTTTCCAGCTACTCCCATCAAGGGCGGAGTCTACTTCCTCACCTCTTGAATCTGGACTGGCTGTGTGACCTGTGTGGACAATCAGGTACAAGGAGAACAGCACCATGCAGTGCCAAGCTTTGCCTGGCTCCCCTCTTTCCATTAAGGCCATGGGAAGAAGCCTGGGTTGCTGGGTGGAGGATGAAAGACCCATAGCCCAGTAATCGGCTGCCACCTGCCTCACAGCCAGCTGTGCCCCAGAAGCAGGACACTGCCCAGCTGCCCAGACACACCCGGGAGCTGCCAGAGCCAGGATGGCCCAGCTGAGCCTGGCTTGAGCTGCTGGCCCACAGTCATGGGTGGAATGAATGGCAGGGTCACTCTGTTGGGGGCTGGTTTCCACTCCTGACCTCTCAAACAGCCACAAGGACTGGGGCTGGGCCAGGCTGAAGCCAGGAGCCAGAAGCCTCCTCCAAGTCTCCCACATGGGTGCGGGGGCCCAAGGACCTGGGCCATCCTGCACTGCTACCCTAGGTGCATTAGCAGGGAGCTGGATCAGAAGTGGAGCAGCCAGGACTCGAACTGGCGCTGCAGGCTGGGGTTTTAACCTTTGAGCCACAGCACCAGCCCTAATCCATGATTCCTTATCATATGAGAGCACTTTAAACAGCTTGCAGAGGGCTGGGCATTTGACCGCACAGTTAAGATGCTTGCATCCCATGACAGGGAGCCTGGATCTGCATCTCAGCTCCACTCCTGCCCCCAGCTTCCTGCCAGAGCAGACCCTGGGAGGCCCAGCGGGTCCCTGCCAGTCACGTGGGGGACCTGGATTGAGTTCGCAGCTCCTGGTTCCAGCCCTGGGCCCAGCTCTGATTGTTGCGGGCATTTGAACTAGCAGATGGGAGAATTCTCTGTCTCTCTCTCTCTCTCTTTCTCTGCCTCTCAAATTAAGAGAGGGAAAAAAAAGCTCTTGGAAAATGGAATTGAAAGATAAGCTTATTCTGGTGCAAAACTTTTTTGAAATCCACGCAGAGCTCGTTCATAACACGCAGTCCCCACGGCCTTTAGGGAGGCTCCTCAAACCCTCCTCTCACCTTTCTCGACCTTGCCCCCGCGTGTATTTTTCTCGTTAATGGTTTCCTTGCCCCCCTATCTGGTGAAAGCTCCGTGAGAGAATGGGCCTTACGCTGGTCACCACCACAGCCTCAGGGCTACTGGACACTAAGCATTCAGCACCCACTGGCATTGGCCTTGTGAACGCGGTCCGTGTGTCTGCAGGAGGCCTGACTCCGCCCTGCTGCTGACTGCACCCCCAGACGAGCAGGAGTCTGCACTGCGAATCCCCAGTCCAGGTGGCTCTGATGCACGCAGGTGGAACAAAGCAGCCCCCGCTCCTCCCCCAGGCACCGGGCTTTGGGTGTCATGTTCCTGCCCTGCCCATCACCAAGCACCCCCATCTGTGATGGCTGACACCCACTTTGGGGAGGAGATGGTGGGATCCGAGTCTTTCCCTAGAGAACCAACTGTGCACTGGACCTCGCTCTTCACACTTCACCTGCATCCATTCATGCTTGGTCTTCAAGCTGCCTGTGAAATTGTCCCCACTTGACGGATGAGACAGGACACACACAGAGGTGCAAGTGTGTGGTGAGAACATCAGATCCCCGTGCTGACCGCTCCTCCAGCCCCAGCCCTGCCCCGAGCCCACACAGCCTGATCGTACCTGCTGTCCTCGCTGGTGACCAGGACACACACGGCCAGTACGTCCTGCCCAGCCACATCCTCCCCAGGGCTGATCCTCACCGAGGTCCACTCGGAGGCCAGGGGCGAGGTGGCGCCCTCTTGCACGGCATGATGCTCTGGCTCAGGGGTGCTCTTGGGCTTCTTGGGGGAGCTGGGCTCATCTGCTAAGAGGAGAACAGGACTGGAGGGATGGTGGGACTGACCGGCCCCAGCGCTGCACCTGCTCCTCCCGGGGATTGAGCAGGATGGCGGGGGTGGGGCAGGCCCAGGATCCCTCTGCACACCCCAGGTACCAGCTTTCTCATGCTTGGTGCAGCCCACCAGATGCTCTGGCACTTAGGGCACAGCCCCTGTGCAGGGCACGAGTGCGTGCATCTTTCCATTTGATCTGGAAGGCAGAGCAGGGTCCTGAAAGATCCAGAGGGTCCACCCCAGGGGCCAGCCTCTGAACGCCTGTTGTCAAAATCGCAGCAGCTCACAGGTTGCTAGCTCAGGTCTCATCCTACCTGCTGCACCTGCCACACCTGCCGCACCCAGCCCAGCCCTCCTTCCAAACAGCTCTCCCCTCAGCTTCCGGCTGCCTCCCGCTCACCGGTTGCCTCCTTGTCAGTCTCCTAGGCTCCTTCCACCTCCTCCCCTTAACTGCCTAACACTGGAAGGTCCCAGGGTGCTGTCTCTGAAGCCCTTCTCTTTGTCACTCTCACGGCTTTAAACAGACAATGACGACTCCCAGATCGACAGCTCCTCAACTGGTTCGAGACTTTGCTACACCACAGCTTACTCGGTGTCAGCACCGGGGTGTCCAACAGACACATCAAACTCAACCTGTGAAAATGCACTCTGCATCTCCACCCGCCCCCACCTTCCCCACCTGGGAAACGGAGACTTCCGCCTCCCACCACGAACGGCAGCAGCTTTGCAGTGTGGTTGACTTCCCTCCTTCTGTCATTCTGCACCCCACGCTCTCAGTCTGTCCTCGACAGAGCAGCCACAGGGGCCCCTCTGCCATCGGCGGCATCATGCCAGTCGCTGTGCCCCCGCAGCGACTCATTTCCCCTTGAGTTCAAGCTGATGGCCTGACCGCGGTCTTGAAGTCCCCCAGTGGCCGTGTGGCCTCATCTCGGAGCACGGCCCCCACCCTCGGTGCCGACTGTAGCACACACATGCTGCTCCTCCTGCACGTGTCCCAGGCCCCCGGGTAGTCTTGCCTCCAAGGAGGGGATGCCCTTCCCAGGTGCCTCCTGCAGCGACCCGCTCGCTCATGCCTTCCGCCTCTGGCTGACCGGCACGTGTTCCCGAGGCCTGCCATGACCAGCCTGCTCCACACTGCAGCCCACACCCTCAGAGCTCTCCACTCCCCTGGGATTTTACTTATCATGGTCTAAGAAATCAATCTTCTTGTTTATTTTGGTTATCGCCTCTCTCCTAGGTCTAGAGTGAAAGTGGTAGTTATTCAACAAACACCTGTTGAATGAATACATGAGCCCCAGACCCACCCAGCGGCCACCCCGAGCTGGCCCCACTGGAGCGGGTGTCTTTTTTCCTTTCTAGGGAGGAGACCTCACCCGAACTCGGCTCTCTTTCCGCACCCCCCCTCCAAGCCATCATCTCCTCTTCCCTGTGTTCCTAACTTCCTTGCCTCCTGGGTCGTTCCCACCAGTATTTCCACCTGTGGAAGCTCTCCTGCCTTCAGGAAACTCCTCTTAGTCCCCACCCTAGCACATGCTCCCTCGTTCCTCTTCCCCACCCAATCTTCTTGGAAGACTTGGCTTCCCTCACTCTTTCCACGTCTCTGTGGATCCCCTATAATCCCGTTTATGCCTCTGCTCCTCCCAAACTTCCCCCCAGCAACGTCCCCGGGGCCTCCTTGTTGCTAAATCCAGTTCATGGGCTTTGGGGTCCTTGCAGCCCTTGACCCCTGCCCCTCCTTGCCCTGGACACCTCCTCCCCCTCCCTTCCTGGCGTTTCGTTCTCAGTCATGCAGTCTTTTAGGGGAGGCCTGAATGCCAAGGGCTCCATGCTTTACCTGGGCCCTCCCATCTTTGGATCCCATGCGCTCTCTTTGGGAGAGGTTATCTACTCCCTTAACTGTATTTATCACTTGTGAAGATAATCCCAGAGATTTTTTTTTCTGTAAAAATGCCTCCAGTTGCACAGGTCAAACCAAACATGGCACAGGCAGACTCAGCCAGTGGGCTGCCAGCCTGTGACCCTGGTGTACATGCAAACCTGCTCATGTGCACCTGTGTCTACCCTGGGGCCAGGAGGCTGTGTGAGGAATGCAACTGATGCCTCACTATGTAATGATGGTGATGATGTTATGATGATAGTGGCAGTAATTATAGCAGTAGCCGCTTACTTCTTTTTTTTTTTTTTTTTTTTTTTTTTTTTTTTGACAGGCAGAGTGGACAGTGAGAGAGAGAGACAGAGAGAAAGGTCTTCCTTTGCCGTTGGTTCACCCTCCAATGGCCGCTGCGGTCGGTGTGCTGCAGCCGGCGCACCGCGCTGATCCGATGGCAGGAGCCAGGAGCCAGGTGCTTTTCCTGGTCTCCCATGGGGGGGCAGGGGCCCAAGCAACCTGGCCATCCTCCACTGCACTCCCTGGCCACAGCAGAGAGCTGGCCTGGAAGAGGGGCAACCGGGACAGAATCCGGTGCCCCGACCGGGACTAGAACCCAGTGTGCCGGCGCCGCTAGGCGGAGGATTAGCCTAGTGAGCCGCGGCGCCGGACTCCCTTACTTCTTATATTGGGTGCTCAGCACACACCAGGAAGTGCACAGACCTGTATCTTAAGTCTATTAAACCTCACACAACCCTCTGGGAAAAGCATTGCTGTCGTCTTCATTTTCCTGCTGAGAAAACAGAAGCAGAGAGAGAGTGGGATACCGGTGCGTGGCTTATTCTGTCTGGGAGACAGCAGGCCCATGGGTGGGCACCATGGCGAGTGGCTTTTTATTCCAGAACCCCACACCCAGTGTCTGCTCCCTTGCTGTGCAGTCACACTTGGACCCGCACTTCGCAGTCCTTCCTGCTTCAAGGGGTGCGGCATACTTCCTTGACCCGTTGCCGTGAGGCTTGGCTCTGAGACTTGCTTTGAGCAGTGGAAATTCATGCTTGTGACGTAAGCAGAGGCTTTAAACAGCTCGCTGGGTTGGCCTAATATTACTTATGCCCCTGTGACATTACCATGCAATGAGCTGGTCTCAGATGGCTGCTTCAAGACTGCTGTGTCCTTGATCTGGGTACCTGGAACAGACCTGGGGCCAACCTACGGCCTAGAGATCAACCCAGCCAACCCCATGGGAGCCCAGCCCTCTCCCCCTCCCCTTCAACACAACCCCAAAGCCTGCAGCAGAGCCACCCAGCCAACTCTCAGGATTGCAAGCAGAACAGTCTCGGGAGGCTTGTTCCATGGAAGCTATGGAGGCCAGCTACACCTGGCTTGTATCTGAGAACAGGTGTGTGCGTGTCTGAGCCGTGCCCAATGCTGTGTATCCCTCCTCCATCCAGGCCCGTGCTGCAGACTTGGAGATGAATCGACCCCCATTGGTTACTGCCTTCTGGGATCTTTCCGGCCCAAGGAGAGATAAGGCTTGTTTACAAACCTCTCCATTAGAAGGGAAACCCTTGTGTAAGAGGGAGGCAAGAAGGAAGCAGGAGGCCAAGGAGAGCTGACATCCACGCCAGAGGCACTTTGGGTCAAAGCAACCATTTTAAGTGGCTTGAGAACGAGTAGGATCTGAGCCAAGAAGGGCGGGGTGGTGCTCCAGAGGGCTGGCATCTGGGAGCAGAGGCGAGGCCCGAGGCACTGCCCTTCGTCTGCGAACAGCAAGGAGGGCCTGGAGAGACACCTGCAGCGAATGATGGCATCAACGCCAACCCAAGAAGGGCCTCGAATGACAAGTTAGAGAGTGGACTGCACTCCAAAAGCCTGCCCTGAGGGTGGGGAGCTGGGGATGGCGTCGCCACGTTAGCCTCGGATGGAACTGTCTGCCGCAGGATGGAAGGGGGGTTGCATGGGCAGGTGGCTAAGGTGACCTGGAGGAGGCCTCTGGACAGAGCACACCAAAGAGGAGGGCAGAGGTGAGGGAGCCTGCAGGGGTGGATGGCGAGCAGAGCCGGCTGCGGGGCACCAGACACCCAGTTCCCATGTCCTCGGGTCTCACTCTCCTCTTTCCCCCTTCCAGAGAGCTTTCACTGAGGGTGGAGCAAGGCAATCTCAGCCTGGCTCCCTGGGCTCCCTGCAGGTGGAGGGCATGGCTGGCCGCTGGGCCCCAGGTGCCCATCCTCACAGAGTCCGGACATCAGAGCAGGAGCCAGACAAGGGCAGCCAGAGGTGGAGACTTAGTGGAAAGGAAGCCATTGCCAACTCGCCGGAGGCCAAAACCCCAAGGGGCAGGTGCACCTCCCCTGCTCCTGCCCGCCCCGGCCCGGCCCTGGGCTTTCACTGGGTCTGTGGGGTTCAGCACCACCCCAGGGGGCAGCCTCTCCACTGACACCTCTCTTGGTTCCCTGGAAGGTCCCTGTCCACACGCACCTGCCAGTAGCGGTGGTGGCCATGGTACGGGTCCTGGTGAAAGGAGCAGCAGCAGTGACAGTGACAAAAGCCGCACCAGTCCTCACCGAGCGCCCACGTGCCCACGCACACTTCACACTTGTCATCTCCAGCATCCCCACAGCCCTCAAGGGACCCCATTCCTGCATAGGTGGGGTCCGGAGACAGCACCTCTTTCAGGACCAGAGTGCCGTTGTGTCTGTGGCTGGCCCAGGTGAGGGACAGGCCGGGTGTGTCCCCCGTGCACACAGTCCTCTCTCTGCTCTCCCCCAGGCCGGCTGCTCTCTGAAGTCATTCATGCTTCAAAGGAGTGAATCCAGGACTACGGGGGGTGGGGGGGGCCTGCGGACACCAGGAGGGGGAGGTGCGTGAGGATGGGAGGGGTGGGGGGTGGGGGGGAAGATCCAGCACATTCCAGAGCAGCTGCTGCTGGCCTCCCGGTGGGAGGCAGGTCTGCTCAGAACCGAGCAAGTCTCCATGCTGTCAGTGCACCGGCCGGACACCCGCCCCTGACAGGAGATGAGATGCAGAGGCAGCAAGTGCCTGGCCAGGCCCCCGCGGCAGGGTCGGGGCGGGAGAAGCAGCGCGGCCCTGGAGCCGCAGCTAGAA